ATGTACACATCTGCTTCCCAGCTCTGGCATTTCCTGTTGGAAACACAAGGCCCAAATCTAGCACATAAAACTGATTTTCAGGGGAACCATCAGTGCTATGACTCCTTCATCTCACTGCATTCCAGGATCCTTTGCACATGAGATCAGATGATGCAAACTCGTGTGTGAGCCAAGCCTGGTACAGCATCAAAAAGGCCCCAAGGAGAGTAAATTTGCTTCTCTTTCTAGGGGCTCATCTGTTCAGCACAATCATTAGGAGAGGAACAAGCAGGAACAAGGGTTATCCATCAAAAAGATACCCCAGATAAAATTAAACTGGAAAAGCCAAAAGACCTTGGTCATCAGGACGTTCTTAAACCAAAAGAGAAGAGGAATGTCAAGAGAGAATTTGGCTGTCTTGGAAGTGATCACCATTATATAGTTCTAAGTCCTCAGTCTACAAATGAATTGCTCTGGATTTACCCATAGTAAGTGAGCTCATTTCCCTTTCTGGCTGATAAAAGCCCAGTTGTCTGGAACTCCAGCAGGCCAATTGTAAAAGCAGCATGTGGCAAAGGCTCATGAGTCACCAGCTCATTTGCTCATCAGCCAGTAACAACAAACCCTTCACATTTCCTTGGGCCAGCCCAGAGAGCTCTCACTTCCACATCCCTGAGTGAGCAAATACCAGAGAGTTCGGGACTGACCTGCCTCCTCCTTCTCTTCCTCCTCCCTTTCCTCCTCCTCCTCCTCATCTCTGCCTTGTGCCAGTCAAAAAGGTGGTTACTCGGGAGCTGTGGCTTTTGCCTCACCACACTCCACACTGCTTCCAACCATGGAATTTCTCCTGGATAGGCAGCAAATGGTGCCCTATGAACTGGAAAGATGGAGCAGCTCAATCCTTGCAGATTCCTCGCAGAGGGAGCGAGGGATGACCCCACAGCAGGGAAGTTAAAACTGCTAATATTGTTTGGCAGCACTTCACAAGATCAAATCACCACTTGGTTTTCCAGCAGAGCACTTCCAAGAAATCCCACTGGTGATGAAAGTTCCTAGGTAGACAAAAATATCTGAGTCCAGCCTGTAGAGCAGCCACAGCAAAATACAGTCTTGAAGGAGAAGCAGCTGGAAATTCTGCTCAGGAATGACCTGTTCTGGCCATCAGCATGAAACAAGCACCAGGTTTAGCATCCTCCCCAGTCATGAGTGTGGCTTCAGCCTTCTGCAGGATTTACTGCCCCTGAGCTCCTGCCCAGGTCATCACAGGGATCTCATCCGGTTTCCAGCGCTCCCAGGTGACTTTGCTCTTTGAATTTCCGTGGGTGGGTACCCAGCAGGTGGCATCCACGTCCAACATTTGTGCTGGAGCCTCACCTTCCTGAGGGCTTCTCTTCTGCTTTATTGATCCCAGGATCTGTTTCTTCACTAATGCCTACTTTTCATTTGAATTTATTTTAAAATTTCACACGATTCACTGGTTTAGTGCTTCTTTAATTATTCCTATTCTTTCCCAAAGATAAAGTTCACTCATCATTCCTCTGTGTTCAGTGGAACAGCATGTGAACATTTATTTAAAAATCATCAGAAAATAGATTTACTAACAAATTTATGAAAAAAATACTTGAGATCTGTCCATCTCACCAGTGAGAAATATGCTGGGTCTAGGCTGGGAGAAATCAGGGCACATCACATTTCAATAATGTTTATACTAGAGAAAAATAGGTTTTGTGGGAGGGAACAGGAGTGCTGAGAAAGTTCAAGCAGCATTCCCTGACAGCCTCGCTTTCCAGCCCAGTTATTTGGCAAGGATAGGCACTGGGTTTGGGTGTTACAGTCATCCTCCAACAATGGAAATATTGCAAAATATGTAGCACCACATATTAAGAAAGGATTAGAAGTGGGGAACCACAAGGAGTCGGAAGATAGGACCAGCCTTAGAGCAGAGCCTCAGGCACTGTTGCAGAACCATGTTTTCTGGAGCAGGATTACAGCCACGTTTCAGCCTTTGTTTGCTTGACAAAACCATAGATACCATCCTGGGTTTCCACACGTCTGTGCACATCCTGCCATGCCCCCGACTCCAGGAGCAACTATCAGCCTTCATAACTCTGCTGAGTATAAATCAAGATCTCATCTGCCAGTGATGAGATGATTAGGAATTGTGCTCCCTGCTCCTGCAGGCACTGAGGAGATCCACACAGAGCCCAAACTGCTGGGAAGTTTGGAGTTGGAAGTTAAGAGACTCGATGGAAAAAAGACTTCTGCTCAATCTCTATCACATTCTAAATCTTCTCTTCTCAGGTTTCTAAGGCTTGGATTACACCCAGGAATAGACTGGTGCTTATTAATTAATTCCTTTGAGGCTGTTCAGAGTCATATTTAACAACAGTCTTATTCTGGGTTTGTTGGTGCAGTGTTGCCATAAGGATGACAAGCAGGAACTGGTGTGGTGGATTACTGGCTCTAGCCCATGGTCTGTCTAATCCAGCCTTGGCAGTGCAGACCCAAGTACCTCAAATGTGAGCCTTGGATCCTTTGCTGTGGAAAGTTATGGAGTTCTTGCCTCCCTGAAGAGGTTCCTCCCAGTCTGAGTCATTAGTGGCTCCTTTGCATTCTGGGACATGAGGTTTATGTCCCTCCAAAACGTAATGGAAAGGTGGAGAATGCAATCCACAAAACTCTAGACCTCAGTAATTAGACACCCACAAGATAAATTACACCTTGTATGAAAAGAAAAGCGTAAAAAGCCATTGCGAAAGTAATTCTTACCTGGTCTAAACGGCTGCCTCTCAGTGCCTCTGGCCAGGTAACACCTCTAGTCCCTCTTCCTTCAGCAGATCCCCAGCCCATTGCAAAAGAGGACACTGCCATTGCAGCAGACAAACCTCAGCTCACCTCACCTCACTGCCTGTCATGGACCTGCTGGGACAGAATCTCACCCAGGTCCCACTTGGTGCTGGGTCTCACATCATAAAAAACCTCCCCCAGAACAGCTGGTGTCTGACAATCTTTTCCTCTACTGTAATTTCTACATTAAAATAAATACTCCCAAACTCCACTCTTTCCTTCTATACATTCTCACTTACTCCAAAAACCTCCTTCTTCTCCAGAGTGTCAATCAATGCAGTGACCAGAGGGAGCAGAAACTTCCCTTCACTTTCCTGCCTTTGGCTCAATTTGTGATGGGAGCACATGAGCCATTCCCCAGTCCATTCCTTTGAATCCCTCTTTATTTCAACTCAACTTAATTCCAAACCACAAAAATCACTTTACTCCTAGGAAAAGCATTTGGATTGAAGTTTGTACTGAATCATAAGCTAACATTTAGTTGAATTCTACAAGGACAGTTTTCTAGAAGGGGGACTGAGAACTCTCTCTTCAAGGGAATTTTGTACACATATACTTTTTAAACTGAGAATGATTCCTTGTTGGTTTTAAGAGTAAACCCATAAACACAGAAAGTTATATTAAGAAACACTCAAAGGTGACCCTTGTTTGCAACAGCCCCACAAATAACCAGTGCTGTGTGCTCCTGTGCTGTGTGTGCAGGCAGCAGCCCCAGAGCAGGAGTTCTCCCTTGCCCACCTCTGTGCCACTGAGCTGAGACACGGCATCCACAGGCCAAGAAAATGCCAAGGACACATCCCAGGCTCCTCCTGCTCATGAAATGCACTTTATAGCTCTGCTGACCCCATTCCTGATGAGTGATGTGCCTGCAGGGACACTGGCAGCAGTGACAACACGTTTGAAAGGCTGCAAGGACCCCGTGCTTTGCAACCACGTCACCATCACCCTGCTGAGGTGCAAACAGCAACCTCAGACAGATTTACACAGAGCCAAGTGCTTCAGCTGTGCCCTGCACACACACAGCCCGGGCACAGCTGTCCCAGCAGAGGGGACAGCTGGGACAGACCCCTTTGCTCTGTGCTGGGAGGTGCCCACAGCTGAGCTAAGCACAAGAGCAGCCTGGGGATGCACACTGGTGAACAGGACAGTGTCTGCTCTCTCCTCTGCCAGCATGCAGTTCAAAGTCTGAATCAGTGAATTTTCTCATTTTCCACTCAAAGGAGGATATTGCAACGGAGCTTTGGGCAGAAAGGGACAAATCAGAGTTTACTCCTGCTCTAGGATAATCTAGGATAAAATCCCTGTGGCTTGAAACAGTGCTGTGAACACCCAGAAAGCTGAAAAAAAATAAGGTATTATTTTTGGCTGAAAGTATTTATGGCTGATGCAGGAACTCTCTCATTAGTTACTCATTGCCTCAGCAGGTCTCATAAAACATCCAGCAGAGCCCAGCAAATACTTCAGCGTTGTGGAAGCTCAGAAATCTAGGGATTGAACGAGGCCTTGAACCCATTTTATGGACTCATTTCTTACTGAACACCATAAAATATTAAAATTCCAACCGTATAAATAAGGAGGGGAAAGAACTGTGCATTTCCCAGCAGAAGTGGCCTCTCCAGAGACTCTTCCCAAGGTAAGTCCAGTGCTACCTGATCCAGAGACGGGTTCCCCTGACTGACAGGTGATCGGAGACAACAAACTCATGTAATGGAGATTAGAGACATGAAACCCCCTTGAATCTGCTCTGAACTGGAAATGCCCTGCAACAATGGCCTCAGTTTATTTCCTGGTGACCCTGTCCCCGTGTGAGGGCTCTCCCCAAGGTGTGTGATGGCAGCAGGGGTTAACCCCTGCGAGCCCTGAGCAGAGGCAGCAGTGCTGTGACCCTCTCTCCCACAGAGATGGAGCAGAGACGCAGCCTCGCCGTCCCCTGTGGAGCGCCCATCCTTGCTATTTCCTTCCTGGCATGTGTGGCCACAGGTAAGCAATGGAAAAAAATCCACCCTGGCTTTGTCCAAGCCTCATCACACCAATTATTGAAACTGCCCAGGGCTGGGTGATGTGACACAGCAGCATCCCAGCTTTTGAGCATTCTGGAGGTCATCCCCAGAGGACTGTCTGAAAATTGGCCTCTGATTTAAGAGTAGCAGAGAAGGGAATGGGGAAATGTCAGTGCTTTCCACCATTATTGCAGCAGGGATGATGAGGTCACAGTTTCCAAACCTGCTCTAAGCAGTGAGAAGTGTGATGGGTTTGGCCACCTGGGAACACCTTCAGACAGGGACCTTCAGACTCCTTCATATTCACAAGATCTTAATACCTTTATAATCTATGTTTTAAATTCCTGGTCTATGGCCCAGGCTGCAGTAGTGAGTTTCATCCCATTACAATAATTTATTTCCCATGCTGGTTGTTCATTTAGTATGTCCTGAGGTTTGTACCTTTGACAAACTGCAGCTCTGCAACAGCCAGGATACAGCTGAGAGGCCGATTAACTCATTTATACTCCCTAGGGCATCCTGCTCCAGCTGAAAAACAGAGTATCAAACAGTGAGCACAGTGGTGCTGCAGCAGTGATTGGCAGCAGGAAGGTGATGGGATGGGAATGACTTTTTGCTGGCTGTCACATGGTCACTCCTGGCTTCAGACATTTTGTTGTCACAGGTTAGGCCTTGGTGTTCTGGCAGTCAGCTGCAAAAGCCTGGTTTTTATTTTAAGTAACTGTGGAGGGAGCTGAAGAGATGAAGACGGCTTCTTGTCTCAAAAATTAACATTCCACCTGAAAACAGCTCTTAGATTGAAACCTAAAAGTCTCATCCTTCCTCCAAGGTTGAGGCCTGGAGAAGTGAGCAGGGCAGTTTTTGTGGGAAGAGTATGGCTTAGGATGCTTAAATGTGCTTGTCCTCCTTCTTCTGCAGCTTTGGAACTATCTGTAAATAACCACGCTGCTGACTTCACCCTGTCTACAACGCTTGTCCCTGCCATCTCCCTCTCGTGCCTTGTACACAACAGCAGCCAGGCCGAGGAGCTGCTCTGGTACCGTGGAGATGGGCAAGTGGGTCTGAACGCTGGCAATAAAGTGAACATCAGCAACATCTGCATATCCCCAGTCAATGAGTCTGACAACGGAGTCACCTTCACGTGCAGGCTGGCACGGGACAAGTCTGTGCAGCTGTCTGTGATCCTGGATGTCCAGTGTGAGTTGCTGTGGTGGATTCCTGTGTGGAATGGCTGGGGTAGGATGGAGCTGTGGACTGAGCAGCTTTGTCTGGGCGGTGTTTTGCACCTTTGTGCGCTGTCTTCACCAAGAAAAAATGCATTTAAGAGGAGATAACTCACGTGATAAGACACTCCCTTCCCACAATCGTGCTTATGACCTGATCTAAAGCCTCTTTTACAGGAGTGGGTGGGCCCTTAAGAAAGATATTCTGGGTATGTCCCTGCCTCCACCTAGATTATTTCCCAAGGATACAAGTCAGGGCAGAGGAAATACTGGAGTGACACTCTCTGCCACTGACTGCCCTCCTCATTCCCAGGGACCAGGAAAGGCTGCACTACTGTGATGTGTTAGACCACTGAATAAGGAGCACGAGGGATGTGTGAAGGGAACTTATTTTGTGTTAAATGTGGGCATCTATGAGGTTGGAGCAAGGTGGGGTCAGTCTCTTCTCCCAAGTAACAAGTGATAAGAGGAAATAGCCTCAAATTGTCCCAGAGGAGGCTTGGATTGGGTCTTAAGGAAAATTCCTTTACTGAAAGCGTCATCAAGTCCTGGCACAGACTACCCAGGGCAGCAGTGGAACCACCATCCCTGCAGGGATTTAAAAGATGTGTAGACGTGGCACATGGGGATATGTTTTTGTGGTGGCCCTGGCAGTGCTGGGTTAATGGCTGGACTCAATTTGAGAAGGCTTTTCCAACCTAAATGGTTCTGTGATTCTATGAGCAGCATTATTAATGACCTGTTGAACTGCATTCCTGTGAACAGTTCCTCCCCAGCTGAGTGGAGAGGAGACCCTCCACGTGGAAGAAGAAAAAGATGTTACTCTGACCTGCAACTCCAAATCCAACCCTCAAGCCCAAAGCACCTGGCTGAAGGACAACCACAGCTTGACCCTGCAGCAAAGTCATCACGAGGTGTACCAGAACAGTGAGATCTTTCGGCTCTCCATCAAAAAAGTGCAGAAGTCTGACAATGGGACCTACACCTGTGTGGTGGAATCACCCCTGGGATATGGGACAAAGGATTTCCACCTCATAGTTGAAGGTAACAAGGCTGCTGCTGAAAAAATAAGATTTACAAATAACTCTGTTCTCTTTTACAATGACAACGATCCATTTATATTATGAAGTGTAAGTGGAGTGTGGTAAATTCCCTGCATGGATTTCTGAGGGCACAGCAACAGCAAGGAGCTCTCTCTGCACCTTTGCCTGGGACCACAGCACCAGGAAGGGCCCCTCCTCCTCTACCTGTTGATCAAAAGCATTTGGCAAATGTGACCCGGGGCAGGCTCATCCCACTGTCACTTCCCACACTGACAGGGCACACTCAAGTGTGGTTTAAAGCACCTCAGGTCTTACTTGAAGTGTCTTACTGTGACCACAGGATTCTATCATGCCCGAAGAGCTGCTTAAGGCAGGAGGAATTGTGCTCCAGAGGTGACTACAAGGGTTGGGTGTTCAGGGCTCAGGCAAGTGACACTAAATCACCTCTGTCCAGACCCCTTTCACTTTTGCCCTCCTGGCACCGTGAGGGAAGCAATGTTACCTGTGTCAATGTTACCTGTGTCAATGTTACCTGTGTCAATGTTACCTGTGTCAGTGGTACCTCTGGAAAGCCTTATTTCTGAGCAGTGCCTGGGGGATCTTCTTCAGGAACTGTTTCAATTCTTCTTCAGTTCACAAAAACAGGCTCAGCTCCCTTCTCTCTGAGGGACTAACACACAGAGTCAGTCTGCAGACAGCAGAGAGAACACCAGTTAACTCAGTAGTGACAGCTGTGGGAAAAGTCTTTCCACAGTCCTGTGAAATGTTCTGGGTTATGTGACTGCACTAATTTCTCACATATCCAACCTCTTCTTTCCTGACAGATAAAAAAGCTGTTTTCCCCACGGAGGCTGTTATTGCTGCTGCAGTGGTGGTTTCACTCACAATACTTTTTGGAATTGTGGCTCGAAAAGATACAATTTTTAAGGTATGGAAAGCTCTAGTTTCATAGGAAAAAAATAGTATTGTTTGCTGCAGTGCCCTGGTTTTTTCTAGCTTTTCTATTCTATTTCATAATGTTGCTTTTCACTGTTAGAAAACTGCTACAAACTACCTCCTGCTTTAGAATTACCAATAGATAAATCAAGTATTAGATATTTTCATGTGGAAGGCATTATGTACTTGCAATATTTGTAACAATATCCCCATGGCCAGGAAATGTGAAAGATAACAGGACTTTTCTTTTATTTTCAGTGCTTCAAGAAACCAAGAGAAATAGCTCTGTAAGTATTTGACTGCTTATTCACAGCTATTCCAAATGAATTCCTTCTTTAGAATTGGCAGAACCTGAATGATAAACCCACTCAGCTCTTGCTCTGGCTGGTGAACATCAGCCCACACCTCCTGTCCCAGCAGAGAGGGGTCTCTGGGAATATGACAGGACACACACAAATCCTGCCCTTCCCTGGCCATCCCAGGGCTCTGGCTATCCCTGTGTGTAACCACTGGCAGGGAAAAAACCCTAATGTCATACCCACAGCCTGCTGACAGCTTTCTGGAGCTGAACACAGCCCAGATGAATTCAACTTACTTGTGTTTTTCTTTTTTTTCCCCTAGGAGTTGATTTCTCACGTCTTCCATTCATCTTGCTGCAGGTAAACACCCAGAAAACATAACTTCTAGTGGTCAACCAAAGCCATAGTGTGAGATGATGAGATAAAGCACTAAAACAATTTTTGAGATCAACTTTATATGTTTTTTTAAAAATATAAGTGGTTCTTTGTGTCTGTTGATTCTAACCTGCTGCTTAGAGGGTCACTGGGAAACCCTTCCTTGGAACAGCATTGAGGCAGGTGGGCTGCATGAGATGATGCCATGCTTATTCCAACATGGAATGCATGTGCAGTCAGGCATGTAGGCTGTGGATCAGTCTAGAGAGGAATCTCTACTGGATTGTGATGCTGATGCACACAAATACAGTGAGGTGTTGGGCTGACAGCTTCTTTCTGTCCTGCAGTGCCATTCCACAGAGCATTGAGGTGGTGGCCATCCAACTCCTTGCCCCTTCCCAATGATCCTGTGGGCATCTCAGCTTCTCTTGTCAGGGAAAAAGCTGCCTGGCACTCAGCAGTGCTGCTGCACCTTCCATCTCCGTGGCTGAGACAGACCCCAGGGCTTGGGGCAGCCCCAAGGCTCGATGACACACAGTGAAGTTCCAGGGTGAAAAAACATCTCCATCCATCCCTTCCCCCACCAAATGTGCCACTCAAGCACTTTTCTCAAGGTCCTGGCAAGCTGTTGAGGCCTCATCATGCCTTGGAATAGTCCATTACTAATACTGTCAATAAACACTGCGTGCTGTAAATCAATTTGAGACAGTGATGCACCAGTGCTCTTCTCAGAAGAGTGGGCAGTTCCTCAAGAGGAAGGTTCTGCAGGGTGATCTGGAGTGTGATCCAGAGCCTGTCCTTGACTCACCAGTGCTCAGGGAGGTCCCTCAAGGTGCCACAGCGGTGCCACCTCATGTTCTGGGCACTCAGCCTCTACACCAGCTGCGGAGAGCTGTCCCAAACCCTGCTCTTCATCTGCCACAGCGCAGGGGGTGACACAGAGCTGGGGACAGCGGGGTGGGGGTGTCCGGATGGGTGTCACTCCCCCAGGGGTGCCACCAGCCCTGCATGGCCGAGCCTGTGCCACACACAGCCCCTGGCACTGACAGAGTTTGTGCCACAAAGTCCCCAGTACTGACTCTCCTCGGGGCGGGGAGGCCGCGGGTTCCAGGCAGTGCGGAATGTTCTGGAGCCGGGGTTGTGTGGGTGAGGGGTCCCTGTGAGGGGTCTCTGTGAGGGGCCGGCGAGAGGGGTCTGTGTGAGGGGCGGGTGTGAGCGATGTGTGCGAGGGGTCCCTGTGAGGGGGTCCGTGTGAGGGGTCGTTGTCAAGGATGGCTGTGAGGGGTCTCTGTGAGGGGTCTCTGTGAGGGGCCGCCCCACCGGCTCCCCCGCACCAAGCGTGTCCCTCGCCTCTCGCCGTCCGCCCTCCCGTCGCCGCTCGCCCCCCCTCGCCCCCGGCCGCGGCCCCGGGCCCCTCTTCCGGCTTCCGGTGCCGGCGCTATAAGAAACGCTTCCGCCTCGGGCCCGCGCCGGGATCGTGCTGCCGGTGCCGCCATGAACGCCCGCGGTGAGGGGGGGGCCGGGCCCCGTTCGTGAGGGGCGGGCACAGGCGGATGGGGTACAGCGATACCTCAGCGATGGTGGGGGGGATGATTACCGGAGAAGGGAGATGGGAATCTGGGGGGGGCTCGTGGGTACCTTAGCAGTGTGTCAAGGGAGGGAAATTACCGGGGTAGGGAGGGGGTTACCGGCCTTTACCGGGGATATGTAGTCCGGAGGGGTGGGAGACTCATGGTTACCTCCGCAATAGGTCGGGCGAGGTGGGGGATTACCGGCACCTTACCGGGGCTGTGGGCAGGGATAACGTGCCCACTAAGGAGGGACGGGAGCCTCACCGTTACCTCAGCGGTGGATGGGAGGGGATGTGTGTGTGTGTGTGTGTTACCGGCGGTGCCCCGGCCGTGACCCTGCCCCGGTGTCCCGCAGGGCTGAGCACGGAGAAGGCCGTCGCCTTCACTCGGCGGCTGCGGGCCGAGCCGCAGTTCCTGCTGGCCCAGAACGTGGCGACATGCAACGACCCGCTGGAGGTGTGCCTGCAGCGGCAGGTGGTGCAGGACACGGTGCAGGTGTTCCAGCACGCCGTGCCCGCCGAGGGCAAGCCCGTCACCAACCAGAAGAACTCCGGTAAGGGCGGCCGGGAGCGGAGGCGGTGTTTGGGGGCTGATTCCTAACAATTATTGTGCTCTTGGGGGCGGCCGCTGCTCCAGAGCCCTTTGTCCGGGGTTTTGGAACAAAGTCGAATTCCTGCAGCATCCTCCCGAGTTAATAACCCGTGTTAGACTTGCAGAGTTTGTCTCTTTTCCCTTCCGCATGGTGTAACTGAGAGCTGTGCTTGCAACAAAAGATTTCAGAACACCTTCCGAGCTTTTTGGTGTTGTAGAAGCCTGGCCAAAAGCTCGAGGCAGAACTGTGTCGTGAATCTCGTGGTAAAAGAAATTGTTGTGCAGCTCCTGAGCACAGGCGTTCCAGTTTAATTCGTGTTCCTTTGATCTCTCAGGGAGATGCTGGATCTTTTCCTGCCTCAACGCAATGCGTCTTCCTTTCATGAAGAAATACAACATTGAAGAGTTTGAGTTCAGCCAGTCCTATCTCTTTTTCTGGGATAAGGTACAGTCGTGTAGGTTGTTGTAGGATTGCTTATGCAATCAGGTGTTAGTGTTGGGACAGAACTTTTTAAGCTGCATTGTTTTAGCATGTATGAGAAGACACTTCAAAAGTTCTTTAAAAATGTATTTTTTAAATGCAGGTGGTTGAGCAAAGTGGGACTTTCAGCTTGAGAAGAAAGTTGTCAAGATATTTTGGAAGAGTAGAAGTGGTTGTTTTTTTTCAAGAGTTCTGTATATTTCAGAAGTTACTTGTTGGTGATTCAAGAGAAACGTGATTGTAGCTTTGACGTTTCAGTTGTACTTGTGACCTGATGGGTGAACTGTGTGCCTGCTTGTCCCCCTAAAGGAAATCAAGAAATCTAATATTAGTTTGGGCCAGGCTTCATTGCATAACTTCTGCTTCCCACTTCTTGTTCCCCTACCCTCAAGCTCTGTGTGAAGTCACTCCTAAATATTTGGTCGAATAAAGAATTTTATAGGGCAGCCCCTGGAATGCTACAGGGGAAAATGAGAACTTCATTGGATGAGCAAAAAGTTGCTTCATCTATTCTGCACATGCAAAGAACTGAATACTCAGCAATTAATTAATGCATAATGCGTCACACTTAAAAGGTTTTGGTTTCTTTTTTAATCTTTGTGTTTCAGGTTGAACGTTGTTACTACTTTTTAAATGCCTTTGTGGAAACAGCTCAGAAAAAGGAGCCAGTGGAAGGGAGACTGGTGCAATTCCTGCTCTCCAACCCCACGAATGATGGTGGACAGTGGGATATGCTGGTTAACATTATTGGTGAGAGAATTGGTCACAAGGAGCCTTTCCTGAAACTGCAACCTGCTTTGAGAAATGGGAATGGAATAGAATAAGAAATTGAGCTTGAGGCCTGGGAATTGGCTAAGGCACATGATGCCATTATAACCATTCTATTTTTTTAGTCAAATACTTTTTTTGGGGCCAGATTATAAATATTGAGTTTAAATCTTGTCTGGCATCACTTTTGCATAGTCCCGTTCATGATAAAAGCTCAGAAAATCAACAAATAATTAGATAACCCTGACTTTCCACTTAATAAAAAGGTTCAATTCCTTTTTCCTCCAGTCATCAACTCAACCTTACTTATTTATAGCCATGTACACAATCTTTAGGGCACATGGTGAGGAAAAGGCCCCTGCTGGACTGGGGTGTGCCTACAAAGTAGGAGCAAAATTACTTGGAATTGCAGCCTGAAGTTGATATAAAGATCAGTGAGAAGGAATTGATGTGGAATGTGGCAGTGCTGGTCTTACAAAGCTCCAGCAGGAAGGGGATCCTACGCTGCTGGAGATACTTAATTACTGCAGCACTTGCTCTCATTTGTGTTGTGAAACAATGTGACACCTTTGTAAATCAACAAGCTAATAATACAAATTTAGAATCACAAAAGGAATTTGTTTCTTTGAAGCCTGGAGGTTCCTTTTTTTCTCATCCCATAGCTATAAATACTTAATCAGGGCAGAGATTTTGGCTGCTGCAGTTACATCCAGAGCCTTGCATGGTGAGATCTGGGAGTGGTACTGTAATGTAGGAAGCCACTGAGCTGCTGCTGGTGTTTTATAAATGTCGAGGAGGAAAGGAGACTGGAAAGTCAGTTTTAATCTTAGATAATTTATGTGGAGTGATTGATAGGAGGCCCAGTTCTTTAGAAGGTATTTCAGGAGATGAATTTTAAAGTAATCAAGTTTTGTTTTTTTTTTTTCCTGGAGAAAAAGACTTCCTGAAGCACTAATTAATTCTGAACTTCTAAGTGTTGAGTTAAATAATACTGAGTAGTTCAGGGATTCCACGTTCTGGGATCCGTGTGGAATGCAGATCAGAGGTCAGGATTCAGTCACAAATTAAAATGTAAACTTTGGGTACTTGTAACCTTTAAATAAGACCTTTTCCCTTGTAATCTCTGCACAAACCCAAACTCCCTTTATCTTTCATATGGGTATGAGCAGTAGGAGCATCTATTCTGTGAAAAAGCCAATTATCAACCTGTAGTTTTATCTCTTTTAGAGAAGTATGGTGTTGTCCCCAAGAAATACTTCCCAGAGTCTCACACCACAGAGGCTACCAGAAGGATGAACGAGATCCTGAATCATAAGGTAAAATTGATTTCGATGATAAAACTTAGGGGAGGGGATGGGAATGAACCTGCTCCAAATGTTCCTAACCACCTTATCCTTATTGACCAAAGTTTTAAGTGCATCTCAGCAACTTAAATTTATTTACAAGCAGCCTAAAGTCTCAGTGAAGTATGATGATAATCTTGAAACATGGAGCAGGAAGGTGAGATCATGGAGGATGTCCATTGTTGGGCTTCAGTAGCTTGAAAGTACCTTTTGTGGTTTTAGTAGCAGTTATTTCTAATCCTCAAATTTCCAAAGATTTTTTTGACATGTGACTACTTAAATCTGTTTCTGCAAAACCAGCACATGGTGTCTAAGTGTCTCTTTCCCACCCTTCAGTATCTCATCTCCCTGTGTGCCAAGGTTTCTAGAGATGACTGCCAAATGTGGTGAAAAAGATGGAGGAAAAAAAAAGTATTTTAAAACCACTGCATGTTAAAAATGAGCTTTCAGTATAGAAGTGCACAGCTTTGTCTGAAGGAAGGTGTTAACTCACACCCTGAACTACAGAAATGAATTAGCCTGGGAAGATGCTGGTGTAGGTAGCTAGATGAAAAAGGCAATTAAAACATTTTTTACAGTTTGCTACATTTTTTCCAGTTCATATGCTGCACACCCAGGGAAAACTGCCTGCTGAAATCCACATAAAAAATGCAAAATGCGTGGTGGGATGAGCTTGGGCATCTTAAATGTTGTTAATGCTGTTCTAATGCTGAGCATGGCAAAGCAGCTGGTCCTGAGGGAACCCCATCACTGTTCCTGGCCTTATGGATGGTGACACTAATGGGAGGCTTGTGCTGCTCTGGCTGCAGCTGTGCATGCAGTGGGGAAATGCCCCTTTCTTTTCATCAGCCAAGAGATCAATTATGCATTAGAATTGCAGAATAAATGTGACAATATGAAGGAAGTGTGTTCTGTGAGTCACAGAGGTGCTGATGTGTGTGGATGTTGTGGCATCACTTACAGGACTGAGAGAAATCAAGTTTTAAGAGCTTAATGGCTGCAAGCCTCACATGATTGGAAATGGTAACTGAATTGTGACTATTTAATTTTTTTGTGATATTTTACTTTAACAGCATTCAATTATCTTGTTATTTTTAAAATGAATCAATCTCTAATGAAGCTTCTGAAAAGTATTTTCATTTTGAAAACACGTTATGAAGAGTAAAATAAGAGCTTGAAACAAGCAGGTAGGAATTCCTGAAAATGATCAGGTGGCACCTTTCATACCCTTTATAACAAAGTGACTTTCTCTTTAAACAGATGAGAGAATACTGCTTGAGGCTAAGAAATATGGTGGAAAGTGGAGGAAACAAAGGAGAACTTTGTGCTGCCATGGACATGATGATAGAAGAGGTAAATAAACTGGTGTGACGTGAATCTTGGAGCACAGGGCTGGGATGGATGAGATGCCTCACTTTTGTTGTGTAGCTGTTGGATCAGCCAAAACAAGTGCCTCTTGTTGCTTAACAAAGTGTTCTTGGAGCTGTTCAAGTGAATTTGTTTTGCAGTGGCTTTTTGCTTACCTCATTCTGAGTTTTTCTAATCCTTCCAGACAAATATTTTGAACCCATAGGTTTCAGAATGATGATATTTTACAGACATCTGCCCCTTGCTGTAGGAAAAGCAGCATTTTGCCTCTTGAGAGATCAAAACAGTGGCCTGTCAGGCTCTTAGAAATAACAGGAAAGGTTGAAATTTACATTCTGATGGCTTTGAACGCAAATCTTGTAGCACAAGTGTTGTGCAAGGATTCCCCACAAGAGAGCAGAAAAGAACCACAAAAGGGAGGTGTCTGCACAAGGCTGAGTCCAGCTGAGGGCTGGTCCTGGGGGGCAGCAGAGGAATGAATTGCAGCGTGGTTTTGGCTGTGAATTGACTCCATCACTGTCTGTGTATCTGCAGTGCCTGAATCTCCTCCTGCTCACACAAACCCACATAATTTTTCTTATTCTGTGCTGCTCATACTTGATTCTTAAACTGCCAAAAATAACTTAAACTTGAGGCTGTTTTAGTGTGACTGAGTCCATGCACTTTAAAAACAGTATGTATTTAATTTATTTCTCAAACATACAATGCCAAGTCACCTAGTGGTTAAATGTATGTCTTTAGATGAGTCAAGAAATCAAATGTTCTGGTGTTGTGTTAGCTTTTTCTGCAATCCACTGAATATCACTGTTAGGGAGAACCTACCTTGGGCTATCTCTGTAAAGTTTTACTTCCATACTGTGTGGTTTTGGAAATTAATCTTTACACTCATGTAAAATTCTGTATCTTCTTTTTATCTAGTTTTAAGGTTAGCTTAAAAGAAGAAAACTCCTTTGTGTTCCTTGGGTTTCATCAAAACTGTTGTGAAATTCATGCCTTAAGAATGCTGTGCTTTGAGCCTACTCCAGAATGTTGCCAATCTGCACTTAGTTCAAAGGTGAATTAACGTAACATACATGCAGTGTGTGTCCAAAAGGCCTTGAGGGATTCTGTAGCAGACATCAAAAGCTTCCTAGAGATGGTCGTTCTTAGGGCAGGGACACACAGTTCACTGCTAAATGTTTCTTCATTTCTTTGGAGCCTCTTGATTTCTGACAAGAGATCCTGGAACTGACATGAAAGGTTCTTAACTGATGGCATTTTGTCTGTTCTGTAAAAGGTTGTGCTTAACTCTCTGAAGTTAACACAGCATTTTTTTCCTGCAATAGTAAAGTGGTATTGCCTCTGTATTTTTGTGGCAATGCAGAGCTTGATTTTGTTCTAGGAGGTTCTATTTTGCATAGCAAATCTTGGTCTGCCCCTGCTGGGAGCAACAGCACTTGAGCTGAAACGGGGCTGAAATTGTTGTGGAACACTGGATTAAATATTCACTCCATGAATGTAAAAACATTCTTATCAAACCAGTGCATAGCAGGTCAGAAGCTGAAATCAGTTCAGTTCATGAGATAGAATTTTTCTTCCTTTACTGTTCTCCTTTGTAGATTCTTCCTTATCAGGAGTGTTCTCCTTTTCCCCTCCTCATTCATTGTGGGGTTTAGCACAAGCCACTCTATCTTTGCCTTATCTTGCTTCTAGTTGTCACAAGGGCAGTGTAACTCACCTTTTAGTTTAAATATGCTTATTTTATTTATTGGTAGAGGAAGCTTGTGAGATATGAAGAGGGGGCCTGTGTTGGGTGTGGTGGCAAAACAATTGAGGGAGGCCATTCCAGGCTCCAGTGCCTCTGTTCACTGGAGACTTCTGTCTCCATCATTTTCCTTCCTCTGGCTGAAGCCCATTTGGTTGCTGCTCTCCTTTTAGGCATTTTTCTTGCTTATTTTGTGTTCATGGCCTCATCTCTCAGTGCGTGTGGTTATCTGAGGTAATGTGGGTGTAGCCACAGCAAATGGTACCTTTTGTGCACTCTGTGCAAAATTAAATATTTATAGTAGTTCAGGAGTTTATATTTGCTCTTTACCATATTTATTGAGAAATGTGTGAGTTCCTGCAGTAGAAACTTTATGCCCACACCATTGTTTCAACCTATAATTAATCTTTTCACTTGTTTTCTCAAATTGCTTGGAGCAAGAGCACCTTTATTTAGCAGGAGCATTGCACTCCTTTTGCTGCCAGCACAAAGAACACATTAACATAAAGCCAGTTCTTATGGAACCTTAGGATCAGCTCCAGAAAGAGTTAAATCAGCTTTGGGAAAGGTATTGTGTCTACTCTGCTAAGTGTGAAAACTGCCAGGCTGGGAAAGCTGGCACAGACCACAGGAGCTGGATCCCAGTGCAGAAGGTGCAGCTGAGATTTGACTCCCTCTAATTTTATTTTAAATAACCTGATGGTTCCTTGCAAGGAAGAGACTTGTGCTCAAGACATGGACAGAGCTGAAGATCAGTGTCAGCTGAAATAGAACAGATTCAAACCTGTTCAACTGTGATTAAATTCCCTATCCCCAGAGCACCTGTGGCAGGTCCTGCTCTGTATCTCTAGACACTGCCAGTGTTGGCACATTTGCTGATAAGACCTGTGAGAAAGTACAGTAGTGGTTCTGAAATGCAGTTTTATATTCTGATTTACAGGGAGGCTGATGGCTTGAAATCTGGTCAACTTTTTGTGCTAAAAATCCAAAGATAGCTGCCAGCTGCAAGGGATGTCACAGGCAGCAGGCAGGGAGCTGGAATTAAATTGCATAACCTGCCAGCTCAGCCCTGAACAGAGATGTTGTTAAATGTATTAAAAGAGATGAGGAGATTATTCTGGGGTTTTGAAAAGAAGCAAAGGCCCGTCTTTGAAATCCAAATGAACATTAAGAGTAAAAAATGAATTAGTCCAGGGGAAACACTGGAAAAAATGCCCAGATTAAAAGGTCTGGTTTGTCTCTGCATGGGGCAAACCACCTGGTAGAACAGATGATGCTGAATGATCAAGCTTTTTCAGAATCAATTTGATAAAGTTTCTCTGGCAGTGTTGGAGGAGCTTCAGAATTTCTTATGAAATGTTGTAACAAGGCTGGGAAGTGTCCTGGTTTTTGCTTTGAGCTGCTGCATTCCTAGGATTGTAAGCTTCTCTTTTGCCTGGTGGTTTGCCTGAGAACATGGAGTGTGAGTGTGGAGAAAGAAGCTCTGTTGATTTTTCCTGATGCCTTTCAGATTGGTTTTGAGCTGCTGAAACACCAAGATTTCAGGAGCTGAATGCAGATAATTGGTGTGTGTGTGTCTTTATTGATGTGCTCAGAGGTGACCATTATGATCCCATTTCTCCAGCTGGTTCTCATGGAGAAATCCCTGCTGCAGTGGCATTGCTGTGGTAGGAGAGGCACAGCTGCATGTTCCAGCAGGCTCACAGCTGTTTGCTTCTCTGGGCAGGTATTCAGAATAGTGAGCACTTGCCTGGGCAGCCCTCCGGAGACTTTCTGCTGGGAGTTCCGGGATAAGGAGAAGAATTACCACAAGTACGGCCCCATGACCCCGGTGCAGTTCTACAACGAGCACGTGAAGCCTTACTTCAACATGGAGGACAAGGTTGGGGAAGCTGAAAACTTTCCAAGGCCTTTTTTTCTGCTGCTAAGCCATTTATTTTCCACTGTTGCCAGTGTCTGTCTCCCCTGTAGCTGCAGCACCTGGGATGGGCACTGCTTGCCCAAGTCAGTGTGTTTATTCTCCCTGTTGTGCTGTTTGTGCTCTGCCCTTCAGTTATCTGGGATCTTGTGTTGCAGTCCACAACGGTTTTGTAATGATAAAATATGCAATGATCTAATCAGTTGTAATATGTCATAAGGCAGACATTAGAGAAGGAATAACACACAGAGCTGCTCTGCCACAGTTACGAGGTGAACTTGTGAAACAAAACAAAAAAACCCAACAAACACAACCTTAAAAAACCTCTTACTTCAGCCAAGTGACTTGTTTGCTAATGGGGCAGACAGCAGGCTGGGACAAAAGCTATTCCCTGAAATCCTTCTAGATTCAATCTTCAGAGATTTCAGTTATATTGCACCTTATTTTATGACATCTTGGCTTTTGCAGATTTGTCTAGTGAATGATCCTCGACCCCAGAATCCCTACAACAGGCTCTACACAGTGGAATACCTGGGCAACATGGCTGGAGGGAGGAAAACTCTCTACAACAACCAGCCTGTGGAGGTCCTGAAGAAATTGGCTGCAGCATCTATTAAGGATGGCGAGGTGGGTTTGGTTTCTCTTCACGGATGGCACAGTGCAGCCCATGCCATGTACAACTCCTGGGATTTGGCCCAGACATGACCCTTCCTTCTCTTTGCAGGCTGTGTGGTTTGGCTGTGATGTGGCAAAGCACTTCTATGGCAAGCTGGGAATCAATGACCTGAATATGTGAGTAGAGAATCAAACCAGGATGTCATTTGGGATACTCAGTGAAGACATGAACAGTCCTTTAGCTGTTCAATGAACTGATTTGTACATACTTTGGGTTATATACCCCAGAAGAGTACATTTAAGTAATTCAGCAGCAGCAGATTTTTTTTTTTTTTTACTTGTTAGTTTAATCTGAATCCTTTAAAGATGCACTATGAGTAGTTGTTAAATATTCTTATTTAAATGTCTAATATATGGTGAGAGAAACTCCTAAAGGGATCAGGTTTAGCATTTATTCTGATATTAAAATTGGTTGAACTCATATGCCTGTGCAGTGGCTCCTGGCACAGTGCAGTCTCCCGATTCCCTGATTTAGTCAGAACTCCCCCTGCATCCTTTCTCATGTGGCTTATTTGCCTTTGTATTAGATTTAATCATGAGCTGGTGTTTGGTGTCTCCATCAAGAACATGAACAAAGCAGAACGATTGATCTTTGGAGAATCCCTGATGACCCACGCCATGGTCCTGACAGCTGTCACTGAGAAGGTAGAGTCTCCCTGCTGGAGTTCTGATGCTGGCAGGGATGTGTTGGAATATCCTGGCAGCTTTTCTGTGTCCTGGGTTCACTCAGAGTGTGCCACAATCCCCTGGTGCACAAGGCCTGGTTGTTTATTCCCTTTGTGTTGTTTGTTTCTGAGTGTTCAGAACTATAAATATTTAACAAGGAGGGAAGAATTTTAGACAGGTCAAAGGACTTCTTTTCTTTTACCCACAAACTTTGACTGGAGAGCCACTGCGTGGTTAGTTCAGTCTGGTTCAGAGCCTGTTAAATTGCTGGTAGGAGGCACTTTGCAGCAGGGTTAACCTCCTGCAGCTCCCTGGCATGTGATCTCTGACCTCTAATTAGGGAAGGGAAATGGTGTCCAGCATAGCTCTGTGGCAAACAGCAGCCTGAGATGATTCCACAGCTAGATCTGCTCCTGGCACCATAACAAAGCACATAATGAAGGAAAAAGGAGCATACAAAAACTTATAACTCAGGGTTATCTGCAAAGTTGATGTTTCCATTTATTTCCAGAAGTAGCCATTATTAAAGTTTCTTTGAAGTGATCTCTTCCTGTCCAGCTTGGCCTTGGCTTGAGAAATAACAGCTTGCACAGCACTGAACGAGTTTGCCTGAGCTGTGGAGTTTTGAGACTTGAAATGGAACTGCTGAGTCATAAGACTGTTCCAAGCAACTTTTTACAACTCAATAGAATTTTTTCCTGTTTTCTGCATTCTGAGCTCTTAACACTTCCATTGTGTATCAGATTGCATGAACATTTCTCTAAATACCTAACTGAAAAACAAGGAAAACTTTGTAGTTGGTACTTCTTAAAAACTTTAATCTGAAGGGACTTTGAGAAACTGAGTTGTAAAATGTAATATTTTGGATTCACTTACTTGTTTTATAAAAAGATTTTGAAGATTTAAAAAAATCATATTACAATTTTACAACATCAAAAATTAATGTGGCTTGAATGCACCTTTTGGTGAAAAAGTTACTGTACATGAATGTGCTTCTCCTCATTTCTCTCTGAGAGCATCCAGAGTTGACATCCGTGGTCTGGGAGCTCTTGAGTGTCCAATCTTAAGGACTGTTCTGTCTTTTCAAGGGAGAATAGAAGGATTGCAACAATATTCCTTTCAATATTAAAAATGGATTTATGGGGTGTTTTTCAGGTTAATTTTTGGTATTAAAATATTTTAATTGCAAGCACCAGACTTGGAGCTGTGTCCTTCAGCTGGATTCTTCAAGGTTTTACACTTGGTCTTACCAATGCTGTTCTGAATTCTGACAGTTCCTTGTTCCTTTACTCTGATTCCCAGTTCAGGCAAGTTGTACATCCTGTATTTAATTTCCCCCATACCCTGATTGGGGACAGGAGCTTAAAGTCTGTGAGTCAGACAAGTCCAAACTAGAATTTAGTTAAATTTCAGCTTCCTGATTAAAAGAAATATTGATTGCAGACTCTCGTTCACCACATTTCCTCATATTTTATCTAAGTAGGTAGATGAATATTTAATAAAATGGCATTTCTCCAGCCATTAGCAAGAAACCATTGGGACTGTCAGGAGTGGAGCTCTGTGTTTTTCTAGTGCTGGATTGGGATGTGGAAGGGGTTGCCTGCTCAGATGTGGCCTCTCCTTCACCACTGAATGTCATGGGCTTGTTTTGGCACAGGATGGGCAAGAAGATGCTTTTGAAAAATGGAGAGTGGAGAACTCCTGGGGTGAAGACCGTGGCAATAAAGGTAATTTATAGTCATGAGAGCAGAAAGCTGAATGTTTGGAAATAAGGATGTGGAAGGGACAATCCAATAACCAGACTGGTGTGTGTATGGAAGGCATGGGAAGATACTGATAGACTTCATCAAAAGCTCATATTTTATCAAACTTTATTCCTGCATTATCAATTTTTGTTAAGATTGTTCAGTTTATTGCAGGGAAGCTGCTGATACTCCTAAGCCTTGATATCAGTTTGCTGTTGATCCAAAGTAAATTCCCAGCTATTATCCCTGCCAAAAACCCCAGCAGCTGCAGGAGTTTGCTCTCCCTCTGTCACATGGGTCAGAACCTTGGCTGTTTTGTTGCTCATAATCCTTTGCTGCAGAACACAAGTGTGGAAAATCTGGAGCATGAGTCCAAAAACATGATGGCACTTGTCCTGTGAGACAGCAGGAGCTCCTGTGGGTCTGTAAACAATCTGTTCATAAAGGGACCATGGATAAAAGTTTGGCTGTATCAATAAAATAGGATCACTTCCAAGGCCAGACTCTGTCCCCAGGAATAAGTCACTGCTGGCCACATTTTTCTGCTGCACATTAATCCCAAATGTTATGCTTGTAAGATTTGGTGTGGCAGAACTTTCCCAGGATGTCTCGGTTTTCTTCTGGGAATAGACTATTTTTGGAGAATTCTGTTTTAGGATGTGGTCTTATTTGTAAGCTTTTCAATAATGTGAACAACTCAGAGGAAAGCACAGAATATTCTTGGAGGTGTCCTAATTTGTTGTGGCCTCTTGGTCTTGCAGTTGTTTCTGTTCTGAGTTAACTGCATCCATTCACAGCAAAGTATTCTAATAAAAATCTTCAGACTTGACAAGACAATGAAACTGTTGACATTCAGCCTTCAAGGCTCAGCAGTATGGCAGTAGTGAAATGTTCTTTGGAATGCTGGGTTAAGTAAAGAAGCCAAATGAGGTAACATCAATGGCACAGGGCAGCAGCTGAGCCCTGACACTGCTACAGGTGCTGCCTGCTGGGCTGGGACTGAGCTGTGGCTCTTCTGTGCTGCAGTATCCAAATCCACACTCACTTCTCAAGAATGAGTTCTAGAGCCATGTCAGAGGAGCTGGTTGTTCCTTTGAAATAAACCCTGCCCTATCTCGTTCCCAGGGCATCTGTGTGGACTTTGCAGGGTGAGTCACTGTCCCTTATCTGCTTTGTACCAGGGGACACCATGGTCTCTGGGAAGTCTTGCTCCCTGACTGTGCTCAGTTTTGCTCAGGGAGTTGCCTGGAAAATGCCTTGACAGAAAATCCCATCAGAAATAGGAAGCTTGACTCTATTTCAGGGAGCTGAATCCCTGAATGATTTTCTTGGGTATGACCAAATGAGCTGCTCTGGAGCAAAGGCAATTGGACACATCCTCCCGGCCTCCTTCCCAAACACTGGGAGAGGTAACTGAGAGTCACAGAATCATTTTGGTTGGAAAACCCCTTTTAAGGTCCAAAAGAGTCCAACTGTTCACCCAGCATTGCCAAGTCCCCACTGACCCATGTCCCCAAATGTCACATCTACACATCATTTAAATCCCTTCAGGGACTGTGACTCAACTTGATGGGGTTTCTTCTCCTTCCTGCCCTGATTTTCCACTCTCTAATAGTAGCTGTGTAGGAGGGTGAGGACTCAGAGTTTGTCTGGCTGTCTTGCAGTGCCAGTGAGTCTGTATCTCACTGTGATAAGAGTTAAGATTTTTATCTTATCTGCCTTGTGAGGAATTGGGAAGCTGTGCTTGGTAAGTCCAGCACAAGAAAGCAGAGTCCACATGAGTGAAGAGTCAGCCAAGAATGATGCTAAACTTGGCACATCCCAGCTGGGTGTGGGGGATAGGAGTAAGCCCCAGCTCCCAGGGTTTCTTGGAAAGGTGATCGAGGGTCCAACCTGCAACAAAACACCAAGGCCTGCACTTGAGCCATTAAACCATGAGCAAAAATGACTTTTTTTGTGAGGAAAGAGCAATCTTTTTTTGTGTTCCCTGTTTTTCCAAGTACAGTCCAGGGTGTCAGGTGCCACCTGTTTACCCTGAGTAGAATGATGCAAGACTAGAGAGATTGGGACTCCTGGTTAGAGAATTATGGGATGGAGTCAGTTGTATGTTCACACTTCAGAGTGGGCAGAACTGAAATCTTGTGGTAGTGCTTGCCCTAGAGAAAGGGAACCCCTGTGAACCAGCCCAGCTTTGCCTCTCCTAAATATTTAGTAATTACATTTATATCTGTTGTATAAATATTTCTGGAACCCTGTGTGTTTTTCCTCAAGGAATGAACACAGCTGCTGACAAACATTGCTTGTTTTCTGAGGTAAAAAAGTCACTTCCCAATGAAATATTTCCTTTCTGTTTTGTTGGCTCTTTTTCAGCCACACAGGCAAGTGTAATTATCCTGAGTAGTCTTTTGTTCTGGAGACACACAGGACGTTATTACCTAACTTTGAACCCAGCTTATCCCATCGGATATCTTTTTTTAAAAGCAAGGAAGAGGGGAATACTAAATCACACTGTGGAGAAGGGTCCATCTGCTTATCTTGGCATAAAAGGAGCTTTTTTAGGATGCATCTCCAGCTAGAAGTCAGCTCCCTTTGGGCTTTTCATGTCTGATATTGGCTGTTGCTCTCCTGCAGGAAGGCATTTCAGGGATTGAACTGTAGGCACCCAGTGTCTGTGCATCTCTCATCCCAAAAGTGCCCTGGGACAGAGGCACTGCTCGTTTGCTTTCCCCAGGCAGGGCTTACAGCACAAGTTCAATGTGGCTTCTCCAAGGCCCTTTGGGGACTTTGAGGGGCTTCCCAGGTGCCTGTAGGATGTGTGTGTGTGGGTCTGCACTGCCCAGGGCTCCCCAAACCCGAGTTATTTGCATGTTCTGGAGTCGTGCTCGGCGCTTCCTCCCTGCTCAGACGCCGCGATCCCAATCGGCTCCGAGGGACAGGATGTCAGAGGCAGAGTTCATTAATCCTCTCGGGGTGCAATTACTTGTTGGCTCTTGGGAGTGAGAGGTTTTTGTGTGTCCCAAGAACTCATATCCTGAAGAGAGGATAATCAAGGCAGCTCCCTTTGGCAGTGTTTCCAAAATGGCTTCTAGCTCGGGTTACAGTTGATAGGGGTTTTAATTTATGGGATTATCTGATTTCTTGCTTTAGAAACAAGATGGTGGAGATAGATGCATTTATTGTCCATATTCTTTGGACATTTTCTTGTTTCATTTGATTGTGTGATGATACAATATAAGGACACGAGGAGCTTTATTACATAAAGTCTTTTCATCTGTCTCCTAAATGCTTCCTTTCTCACAGCTACTCTTACTCCCAGTTCACCTGGAATAGCTTCTTTCCAGTGGTAGCTCTCTGCTAAAACCTCTAAAGTTACTTCCCTCACTCCCAGTTCAAAGGGTGTTCACTGTCATTTTCATATTAAGGGAGACAATTAGGATTTGCTTCAGCCTAAGTGTGACTTAAATGGTTTTGAGGAAAGCAGTGGCTGCCTTTTACTGCAAAAACTAAACCAAGAAGGTTTTCTAAGAACAGGTTGATAGCCTAAAGCTTCAAGTAGATTCAAATAATTTTACATTCTGCCTTGAAGTCTTTCTGTAATTCCCTTGAGTATTCTCAGTGCCCATTTTAACAGAGCAAACATAAATTATAGATATTCTGGCTCTTGTCCTGGTGGGCTTCTTGCCTGACCTTTCAGTGCACACAAAATACATCCTGTATGTTAACTTCCTCCAGATATTTTTTAGTGTGTTTCAAGAGATAACCAGCATGACCAGGCCCTGTTTAATGCATCATTCATAGGTGAGGCTTGTCTGTGGCTGCTTCCCTGCAGTGGCTCTGTGCTGTGATGCTGTTTTCCCCCCCAGGTTACCTGATCATGACCGATGACTGGTTCTCCGAGTACGTGTACGAGGTGGTGGTGGACAAGAAGCACGTGCCCGAGGAGATCCTAGCCGTGATGCAGCAGGAGCCCATTGTTCTGCCAGCCTGGGACCCCATGGGGGCTTTGGCCAAGTGAAGCACGGAGCATTTGCCTCCTCATGGCCATCAGAAGTAGCTGCAATAGAGAATTCCAGTGGTCGGAAGCCATAGCCAAACGATAACGAGACCGAGCCCTCGGCCTGGTCCCTATTCCTGTATTGTAAGTTAAGGATCCTTGGGAAATAGCGCCTCACTGATCCAAGCCCTCAGACAGGCTGCTCCAAAACTCAAAAGGGAAAAGGAAAAAAAACTCACAATGAAAGCAGATGATAAGTGCTGTCAATGGCAGTTTGATTTTACCTTAAACTTTTAATGCAAATCAGCATAGTAATGTAGTAGAATTCTCTTGACCCATGTTTTCCCTAGAAAAAATGGACATTAAAGGCCCTTTAGAATTAATAGTTAGGTGATTGTTAGAGCAAACATATTGAGATAATTAACCAATTATGGTCTGACTTGTCCTATAAAAGAACTCCCCCAAAATATTTTATATATTTACATTTTTAGTTTTGCTGAAGTTTTGGAGAGGACGTATGAATTGAAACTACTAAAAATGACCTTCAAAAAATTTTCTCTTCCAGCAGAATTGGGGAAGGGGAATGGTTTCCTTGAGGTATCCAGTTCCACTTGGTTTTATTCTTCCATTATTGAGCTGGGACTGGATAACCCCCCCAAGGGCCAGTGCTATGTCTGTGTGCACAGGAGCGCTATTTTTCAGTTATTTTAGCAAGAACAACCATAAATATGTTCACAGGTGGAGTTAGTGTCACGCTCAACAGAAAAACCAACATTTTAATTGCTGCATTTTATTTGGTTGTTTTAAAAAACAAGATGGTGCTATGAAGCTTTTGAATAAACACTTTCTAAAGTGACTGGGACAGTTCTGGTTTCTTTTTCTAAAGAGGTGCATGGAGCTGATGGGATGGGAAGATGGTGGTGAGCTGCAGTGAGGGTGTGGTGCCTCCATCACAGACCTCTAACAGAAATGGGTACAAAAATGGCACTGGTGGAGCTGATCCTCCTTTGGGCAGGGGGATGGAGCAGATGATCCTCCAGGGACCCTTCTGGAGTCTCATGCACAGTCTCCACTTTGTGCTGTCACTTGAGTGAAGGCAAGCAAAGAGTGCTTGTACTCCCTGTGGCTCTGACATGGAGCCAGGTCTCTTGGAAAGCCGTGCTATGCACAATATTTTCATTATGACTAATGCATGTGTTGTTTTGGGGGTTTTTTCCTCTTCCAAAAGGTCAGTAATTTTAGTCCTTCAAGATTTTTCTGCTTATGACTTTAACACCAGTTCTTCTGTTTCCTCTGTGCTATCTATGAGTATGATTTCAGTCAAGGAGAATTAATTTTTTTCTCTAGAGTTAAACTGATATTTTTGTTGCTGGTGGCAGCACTGATGAGGATTGAGCTTGATAAACTCAAAACTGACTCCAAGCCAGTTTTTGTTGGTTTCAGTATTTCAAAGTATTGTCCAGCCTGTGCTTATCTCCCAAGTTTTTGCCCAGATATTTCCCTGTACACTTTATACAATAGTATTGTGGTTTTTTTCCTTTCCTTCAAATAAGCACAGAAAATCCACATGGCTGAAACACATTATGGGGAATGAAGCCAATCTGGCAGCAACACTTCTTACTTTATGCCCTGCAACTTTTTAAGTTCTTTCCAAGGTGGAACTGGGAAGGGGGAGGAGGGGAATGCAGATGCCAAGGTGAGAGCTGTGGTTTTTCCTCTGGGAGCAGTTGGACAAAGTGTTCTGAGGTTTGTGCTGGTGCCACCAAGTCAAGGATATTCCTCTGCCTGTGGGAGAACAGCCATGGAAACATTGGTAAGGATTGGTACCTGCAGCTCTTGTTATCCACAAACACCTTACAGGTGGCTGGGGTGGTTTCTGACCTGTAGTTTGAAATGTGGATAAAATCTGTGTGTGAAACGATTCCCCATGAGCTGATTCCCTGCTGATGTGACTTTTACTGGGTCACTCTGCCCTTTTGTCCTGAGGGAGAGCTCACTGCTGAGATCAGCAGCCCTCAGGTAATGCTGGAGACACCTGAGTGATGATGGAGCTGCCCTGAGCTCCCTCCTGAGCCTGAGGAAGTTCTCAGGGTCTGGCACAGCTGGATCCAGAGAGCCTCGGTCTCTTCCCAGGTGTGTGGGAGACAGTTCACAGCCAGGGATTGTTCCCAATGAATTGTTCTAGCACTTCTCCAGAGTGTGTGCTGGAGCAACAAGCCACTTAACCCCTGTCAGCTCACAGGAAATGGTTCAGAGATGATAAAAAATTAAACTGTCCAAGGGATGGAATGGAAATAATGTGAGAATAAGCCTGGCTTGCTGCTTTGTTGTCATTTAGCATAGAAAGCTCCATGAACTGTAAATCCAGACTATGAAAAAATAAACATACAGCTGCTAAAAAGATGCTTTGTCCCCACTGTATTTCAATGCTGATTTCTCAGTTTGTATATATACACATATATCTCCTTTACAAAGCCTTACTTTTAGATTGCTGAGGAACCAGCTGACTTAAGTTTCCTTTTCCAGTTTGTCAACAAAACCGTGCAGTTTTCATGTGAGAATTCGAAGATACTTCCTTTGAAAGGTGGCAAATATTGACAGATAATATTATGAAAGTCAATTCTCAGATTTAATCAAGTGGCAGAAAAATAACAACAATTCCTAATGAGGGAACTGAGGAGGGGTTATGTGTAGTGGTGGTTTGTGGGTTCTAGGAATCAGATTTCCCTATTGGAATGTGGTCATAAAACAGTTGTAGTGGAAATAACAAAACCTCTCCAAAACTCATCCAACTCCCAGATGTGCATCCCAGCAGTGTGGAAAATAGCAGGGAAGGGCAATCAGAATTTCTTTTATCCCAAAGCCAATTGTAATAGCTTCTAAATGTAGTCTGATTGCTAACTAAGGAAAATGGGAACAAACAAATATTGCAGGATTTGTTTGGTTTGTGTTATTTGGAAAATTGTTCCAATCCTTTTATTGGCAGTGAATCAGAGACACTTGCAGAGCCATTACTGATCTCACAGTACAACTGGTACTGCTTTTATGAGGTCATTTGAGTGATGATTCCCATCCTTGTGCTGGAATCTGCAGCTGCTTTATCTGTGTGTCTTGTGTAAAGTCCATTTTCTTTCAATTTTTGTCATTCTTTCCCTAAATCATCAGAATTTCACCTACCAATGCCCAGATTTCATGAGATTTGGGAGCTGGCTCAGTACAGCCCCTGAAAGTTTTTCACTTAGGAGATAAATAAGGTGTTATAAGGTCAAGATGTTTTGCCTGAAATCTCTAGTCTGTTCTTTCTATTACGTCCCAAAGGCTCCAGACTGTTTGGCAAGAAATTCAAAACAAACAAAAAAACCCCAACATAACAAAATCAAAACCTAACAACTGCTGCAGAAGAGATTAATGAAAAAACACCTGAATAAAAAGGCCTGGGTAAGGCATAAAAACCTATTTACTCTAAGCAGAGACTGAGATGGAGAAAAACCTCAGACAAAGGTCACGATCCCTCTAAAATTTTTTAAAATCCAAGATATAATTTTGAAAATAGCACAGGGGCTCTCAGTAGAGAGGATTTATTTAAGTGTAGAAAAAGTGAGTTTGGAAAACCCCTTCGAGTGTCCCAGCAGTGGTGAGCTGGAAATCTGTGTGAAAGGGAAAGTGCAGATTCCTTGTGCCATCCATCCTCTCAGGAAAGAAAAATGCTGCTCTCCAGAGCAGGCTCTGATCCACAGCTGGATCTTTGCACATAAAACTCTGTGCTGTGACCTCCAGCAAGGTTTAGTGAGTGAGGCATGGCAGGGCCTGTCCTTGCAAACCGTCTGGATTAGGACAGAACAGAGGGAAGATTTGTGCAGGAATATCTCAGGCAGGGACACAAACTGCTGGGGGTTTTCCTGCCTGCAGCCAGGTGGAGGTGAGCACGTCCAATCCTGATTATTTTGGAAAGCAGGAGACACAGGAGGGAAATCCAGCCCGGCAGACAGGAGGTGGGCTGTGCTATTTGCACTACAAGATCAATGAATTTCTAAAGCAAGTGAAGGAAAAAATCTCAAATAGACCAAACGCAGCGCCCAGGGGAGTTAATGGGAAACAAAACTGTTTTGCACGCGTGTCCCTCGTGTGTGTGACTGCAATGCCCGCGCTCTCCTTGAGATGGTGCAGGTGCCTCACCCTGCCCGCGCCTGTCACGGACCAGGGACAGCAAAGTGCAAATTACAGTTCTCAGTCATTTTCTCTTCAGTTTCCAGTTTATTTTCTTTTCAGTTGTTTGGAAGAAGTCTCTGAGAATTGGCAACTGCTTAAAGCAAAGCTGCTGCTGCTCCAACTATCAGCTACTTTTACTTGCCCCTATTCTGCTTTTCCACCTTTTTTTTTCTTCTCCAAATCTGCCACCTAAACTATGGCATTGACCTGTGATTTATGATTTTTTATAAACAAGTCGTGAAGTGCAGTAATGAAGAAATCCTGGATGAAAAACACTGGAGAAAAAAAAATGTGTTACAAGTGGAGTGAGGTATTTGGAGAAGTGGTAGGAAGAAAGAAAATTACTTGTTGAGTTTATTGAGGCAGCAAAACGCTTGTAAAGAATTTGTGCTTCAGGCTTTAAAACAAAACTAAACCTTATTTCTTTATTAAAATAATGCAACTATTCAGCATTATTGAAATGAAATTATTCTTTTCAAACCCTTTTGTTGTCTTAATATCCCAGTCCTTCCTATCCTCCCGTAATTTACAGACCCACCAATAAATTTGTAATTCACTTACTCCCTCAAAACTTTGCTGTGTTCATCCTCATTGCCATCCTGTTATTTATAGTTATAGCTATAGCTATAGCTATAGTTTTAGTTATATTTATATTTATATTTATATTTATATTTATATTTATATTTATATTTATATTTATATTTATATTTATATTTATATTTATAATTATTTATAACAACATCCAGCAAAGCTGTCCCTTCCCAGGAAAGCTCCCCTTCCTTCTGCCTCTGCCTTCATTGGATCCTGCCTGCTCGAGCAGATCAGAGCAGGCAAATGTAGCCACCCACCTCTAGGAGGAAAACTGAGCTGCAGCCCTGGTGAAACATAAAGTTTATTTGGCTAAAGTGACGCAAAAAATTCTTAAAGAGCTCTTTGGCAGCAGATTATCTGGAAATCAGACCATGTGAGGGGGACTGGTGTACAAAAAGCTGCCCAGGATGCTGAGCTGCCCAGGCTGAGGTAAATGTGGGTGAAGGGGACTCGAGCTTGGATCTCTCCAAGGGCAGCGCTTCGGACCGACCCCAAACGCAGGTACTTTCTAATTTTGTCTTTACACAGCGATGTCTGAAGCACTTTTATG